CCGTCGTCGTCGTCACCGCCGCCGTCGCCGCCGCCGTCGTCGACGTCGTCGTCGCCGCCGCCGCCGCCGCCGTCGTCGTCGTGGTCGTCGCCGCCGCCGTCGTCGTCGTCGCCGCCGCCGCCGCCGTCGTCCTCCTGGTCGCCGCCGCCGCCGCCTCCGCCGCCGTCGTCGCTGTCGTCGTCGTCGATCGTCCGGCGGCCGTCCTCGGCTTTTTATCGCCAGAGGCCCCTCGACCTCCGAAGGCCTCTGGACGACGTCCTTCGAGCCCGTCGTCACTGGAGGATCCAGACTCGAGGTTTTGGACTGATGTTTTTGTTTTTCAAGGGCTTCCGAAGGCCTCCAGAAATTTCCAGAAGCTCCCAGATACCAGAAACCTCCACAGGCCTCTGGGCGGCGTCGCCGTCGCCGTCACCGGGAATCGGGAAGAGGACGAGGAGGAGGAGGAGGAGGAAAAGACCTGTTTGCTGCAGGCGAAAGCTGAGACGGCTTCCAAAGAGACGCGGCAACAGGCTGAGAAAAATGCGCATGGGGCTCACGATGCTTAGGGGGGCGACGAAACCTATACATGTCCACTGCTCCCTGGCCAGGCCCACCCTGAACCCAGCAGGGGTGTATACGCCACGCCCTCCTGGCTTTGCCAGGGGGGCGGATACACGGTTCCTGGGCCCAGGAAGGGCCTGGCCAGGGAGCAGTGGGCACGCATAGATTTAGGTCGGGCATGTCCCCCTACAGGCGGATTTTGGACGAGAACCAAAAAATATGCTCCAGCAATAACAGAAAAAAGAAAAAAAAAAAAAAAAAAAAAAAAAAAAAAAAAAAAAAAAAAAAAAAAAAAAAAAAAAAAAAAAAAAAAAAAAAAAAAAAAAACACTCACAACTTCACCCCCCAGGCTATTGTTTTGTCTTACGAGTTCGGACGAATGCTCCTCCTGCAGAGGGACGGGCCCGACAAATACAGACCTGCTCGCCCGCGCTGCAGCCGGCCGGGGTGTCCGACGCCGCCGCCCAGCCGCCGAGACGACGACGACGACGACGACGACGACGACGACGACGACGACGACGACGACGACGACGACGACGACGACGACGACGACGACGGCGACGACGACGACGACGACGACGACGCCTCGCGCGCCAGGGCGGGGTGTCCGACGCCGATCCGGGAGCCCCGCGGCCGATCCCCAACGCCCGGCGCCTCGGCCTCTCTCCGCGGCGCGGGGCCCCCGGCCTCGAAGGGCCACGCCCCCGGGGCCGGCTGCTCCCCCCGAGCCGTGCGCCTGGCGGCCCCCGGGGCCCCCGGGGAGGGCCCCGCAAGGAGGCCCAAAACTGCGAGAGAGCGTCCGTCTCGGCGTTTCCCGGGACGGCCCGAGGAGGAGGAGGAGGAGGAGGAGGAGGAGGAGGAGGAGGAGGAGGAGGAGGAGGGGAGAGGAGGGGAGGGGGAGGAGGAGGAGGAGGAGGAAGAGAAGGAGGAGGAGCAGGAGGAGGAGGAGAAGGAGAAGAGGAAGGAGGAGGAGGAGGAGGGGGAGGGGGCGGAGGACGTAGGAGGAGGAGGAGGAGGAGGAGGAGGAGGAGGAGGAGGAGGAGGAGGAGGAGGAGCGCCTGCGCGCCGCCGGCGTGCTCCTTCGAGGGGGAAAAAGGTGCTACTCTTGACGCAGGCAGCGGTCGGACGAAGAGGGGTCGCGCGCGGGAGAGCGAAGCAAGGGAGCGCGGATCGGCGCCCGGGGCCCAGCACGAGAGCCCACACGAGACCGCACGAGGCATCCCGCACGAGACCTCGCAAGAGACCTCTGGGGCCACTCTTCCGTGTTAGAAATAACAGACTGGCATACGGCAGGTTCGTGTCGTGCCGACCCCAGCGTTGGTTTTTGACACCGCAGGGATCCTTCAACCTTGAACGATCGGCCGCTGCCGCAACGTCCGATCGTTCAACATCGATCGATTCTGGGTCGCCGGCGGCGTTCAACCTTGAACGCCCACGCTGGGGTCGCCGCCGGTCGACACGACGCAAACCTACCGTAGGGGGGGGGACGATCGATCCAGAATCGGCGATACCTCGCCGATAGATCGGCGGTAGGCCCCCGATCGTGAATCCGCACGTTCCTGGACGGGGGGGGGGCTATCGGGCCCCTTAGCGGCGATGAATGGGCAATTAGGGGTCGATGCGTCCCCTCTATGCCTATCCCCCCTATCTTTGCCCCTGAGTCCCTGGTGCCCGTGCCAACGGATCTTGACAACTTGGACCCAATCATTTCGCAGTGTGATCCTCTGCACACAGTTGCTGTTGAGCGGCCTACCACGGCCGTTGCTACACCAGCGCCTTCCTGCACTGTGAGCATCGACACAAGGCCCTCTACACCAAAAACAAACCATTATCTAGGGTGCAGGGCCGGTCGGCTCTTCCTGTTCAAATTGGGCGACTTGCTAGACCAAACGGATCAGATCGAAACGTCCTAGACAAGGAGTTCCTCCACTGGTCAGCGTGGATGCCACGCTGCATCTCGCAGCACCACAAGCAAGCAGCACGAGGCTGGTGAACACGATGCTTCACCTGTCGAGAGAGCGCCCTGCTCGTCTTGCCGCGGATGAAGCCCACGAAACCGTTCTGGAGTCAACTCGGATGGACTGCAGCCTCCGCCAACGCCAGCGCAGGCGTGGGCAAGCTGGCCGCTCCCGCGCAAAATGCCGAGTTCCAAAATTTTGCCCCCGCACTCGACCAAGCGGATCATCGTGCAGTCCTGAAGCCAACACGGCCTCCCACCGTGTGGCATCACAGCGACGGCTTGGAGGCTCCACTTCACCTTCGCGGGCAACGTCGCAATACTCAACGACGCGCACGGTTCCGGGACAAGCTTGCTCGCCGACCACATGATTACGTTCTCGATGGGTGTCTGCGAAGTGGATGCTGAGCTCGTGGGGCAGCAGCGGGCCCACGCTCGCGAGGTGCGGAGGCCGCGCGATGCCCTGCAGGCGGGGCCAGCGGGCCCGGCGCAGCCGACGTCAGGCCTGCGCAGGGCCCCCGCTCGGAAGGCTCTCCGGCAGCAGCAGGTCCTGGAGCAGATCCCCGCGGGCCAACATCGTCGGGGGGGGGCCATCGCCTGAGCGGGGCCGCCAGCCAGCGGGGCGGCGCAGGTGCCACCTCCGCGGGTGCCGCCAGGCGGCGGCGGCAGGAGCGGTTTCTCCTCCTGCGTGCGCCCGGGCGGCGCCAGCGGCCTCCTCCTCCTCCTCCTCCTCCTCCTCCTCCTCCTCCTCCTCCTCCTCCTCTTCCTCCTCCGCGGCGCTGGGGGCCGTGGGCGGCGGCGGCAGCACACAGGTATGTGCCGACAGCGACATCACCGCACGCATGCCGCTGCTCGCACCCACGGCCGTGCTCGTGCTGCTCCTGTTTTGCGGCGGGGCGGCGTCGCCACATGCCTGCTGAGGACGCGCTTACACTTGTGGACCCCGCGCGTGCCCTTCCTACAGGGCTTGCCCGAGGTGAAAGCGACGCAGTTTTCTCCGGCGGAGGCTGACGTAGCGCAACACCCGCGAAAATCTTTGGCGACGCCCCTGTCCAAGGGCGGGGAGGCGACGTGACCAAACTCCCCGGAAAGGTGGGCCAGGGGAGACGGATCCCTGGAAATGTATGTCCAGCTTCACCGTCGTCCGGAGCTCCACCGGCCCCGGGCGAACTCGGCCAAGGTGGAGGCGACAGAGGGCTGGCATTGGGTCGGGCATGTCCTCCTACAGGCGGGCTGTGGAAGAGAAGTGAACCAAACACTCAGGCATGGTCTGAAGTCTTTGGGACAGCGTCCCCCAGACTACTTTGGGGGACTATTTTTTGGAATGCTCCTCCTGCAGAGGGACATGCCCGACTCGAGGCCGGCACCTCCGCGCTGCATGCCATGCCAAAGAAGCCCCTGGCCACGGCCCTGGCCCTTCTCGCGGGCGCCGAGGAGGGCGCCCGAGCTCCCGCGGAGCAGCTGGCTCGGCACCGGGGCGGCACTGCCACGCGCGGGTGCGGCCACGCCAGGGGGGCGGCCACGCACGGTGCGCACGGAGACACACCAGCACCACATGTGTCCTCCCTGGAGGCGCGCGTCCGACCCGAACATATAATATGCCCGTCTTGTAGTCTAGACCGTTTCCCGAGCGGCGTGGCCAGGAAGCGCCCGCCACGACGCAGAAAACTTGAAAGAGTTCTCGGTGCGCGCGTCGCCCCTGGGGGGCGACGCACACATAGTATTAGTATGTTAGGGCGACGCCGAACGCAAGCTCGAACCAATCGGCAGCCTGGAAAAGGGGGGACCTGAAGGTACCGATGCCGCTTCTCCCCGGGCCGCTCCCAGGGTGCGTTCTGACCAGAATGTCGAGGCGAATGCGGCGGTAGCGGTGAGGGCCTCCCAGGAGGTCCAAAAAGGGGAACAAGAGGAAAGGGTAGCGCTATGGGTACCTTGGTTCTCCTCCGAGGAAGGAGAAAGAGGAGGGCCATGCCCGGACCCCGACGGCATGATTTTTCATGACGTCGATCCCCCAGAGGTCTCGACCCATTCCCTGGGACTGGCTCTTCATTCCGGGTCGCTTTTTGACGGTCCCGAGGCCCGGTAAGGCCCCCCAGAGGCCGAAAGTAGCGCAAAACCTCCCGTCGTGATCTTTTCACAACTCGAGGGGGTCTGGGTACGAAACCCAAGACGTGTCAACGGCGCGCCCGCCCTCAGCCCTCTTGTTCACAGGCTGCTGCAACCACTCTTGCTATCACTGCACGGATCGTCCCCCCCCCCCTGAAAAAGACGCCCGCCCATATGGACCCGCAGATCGGGCAGGAGGAGGAGGGGCAGGAGGAGGAGGAGGAGGAGGAGGAGGAAAAGGAGAAAGAGGAGGAGGAGGCGGAGGAGGAGGAGGAGGAAGAGGAGGGCGGAGCACGAGCGAAGAGAGAGGAGTGCGGGATGAGAGAAGAGGGAGGGAGAAAGGCGAGGCAGACGGGAGAAGGAACGGGAGGGGTCCTCGGCGATTCCTGGCACCCACAAAAGTTGGTAGGGCCTACCTAGGAAACAGCCGAGAGACCCCGCAGGCCAGGTGGCCGACGAGGGGCTTCCTCGTGCCGCAAACCCCCCTCGTCGCAGGCTGCTGCCGCAGCAGAGGTCCGCCGACCTGGGTGCAGACCTCGAGGGAAAAGGAGGGGCGGAGAGCCAGGAGCAGGACGACGACGACGACGACGACGACGACGACGACGACGACGACGACCACGACGACAACGACGGCGACGACGACGGCGAAGCCCGCGGCGACGACGACGACGACGACGACGGCGAAGCCAGCGGCGACGACGACGAGGCCTCCAGGCTGCAGTCGGCCAGGGAGCACCAGAAGAGGTCCGCGCAGGTGGTGGTGGTGGACGCCGACGATGTGGAGACCTCCCAGCCGCGCCTCTTCCACCTTCCCCTATTCCTCCTTGAACTCCGTCTATCCTCCACTTCTCCTCCTCCTTCTCCTACTCCTCATCCTCCTCCTCCTTGGTCCTTCCTCCTCATGTTCCTCCTCCTCCGCTTCCTCCTCCTCCTCATCATCAGCATCATCATTACCACCACCACCACCATCATCATCATCATCATCATCATCATCATCATCATCATCATCATCATCGTCATCATCATCATCATCATCATCATCATCAGCATCATCATCAGCAGCAGCAGCATCATCATCATCATCAAAATCATCCTCATCACCAACATCAACAACAGCAGCATCAGCATCATCAGCATAATCAGTATCATCACCATCATCATCACCACCATCATATCATCAACAGCATCATCATAGTTATCACAATCAACATCATACAACTCAGCATCTATCACCATAACCACCATAGTCAACAACATCATCATCAGCATGATCAGCGTCGTCATCATTATCATAATCATCATCATCATCATCATCATCATCATCATCATCATCATCAACAGCATCATCATCATATTATCAGCAGCATCAGCAGCATACTCATAATCAGTTTCATAATCATCATCAGTACCATCACCGGCCGCAGCATCACAAACATCGTCATCATCATAACCAGCATCATCAGCAGCAGCACAATCGTCATGATCATCATCAGCATCGTTATAATCATCATAATCATCATCACCATCGTCATCATCATTCCAATCCTCATCGTCATGATCATGATCGCCACCATCACCACCACAATCGCCAGCATCATCACCATCACCGTAATCACCACCGTCAACATCAAAACAACAACAGCAGCAATAGCAGCATCATCAGTATCAGCATTATCAACACCAGCACCACCACCATCAGATCAACACCACTACGACAATCATCATTATCAGCATCATGAGCATCATCATCGTCCCCGAACATCTCATCAGCTTGGCGGCCACCCTGCACAAGGACACCTGGTTCGCTATTTAGCCAGAGGGCAGGGTCATCCAGACGACGAAGGTCATCGTCATCGTCGTCGTCATTATCATCAACAGCAACAGTAAAATAACTTTAAGACTCTTCGATCATGTCCCCTCGCGTGCCACTCAACACGTATATCCTGAAACCTTGGTACCCGTCCTCTTCGTCTTCGATCGTACCCCCTTGGGGATACATCTTCCTTATCAAAACAGGGAAAGACAGGACGGAGTAAAGGGGGAGGGAAAAGGATGGAGCACAAGAGAAACTAGCAGGAGGGGGGCTAGGAGCAGGCAACACGCGGCAGAACCAGACGGGCAGATCGCGCGGGCAGACCCTAGCGCGCGGGTCGGGAAGGCGGGCCCAAGCGGCCAGGTCGAGAAGGTCGGTTGCTGAAGCGTGAGTCCTGCATGAATCGCGAGGAAGTCTAGAGCGACAGCGCGATTCCCCTAAAAACCGCAAGAAAGGCCAAAACGAAAGCGTGGTTCCTGCGTGTCGAGGGCGCAGCGTCAGAATTAATCGCAGGGAAGTCCCACGCAAGAGCGCGACTCCTGCATAAAGTGCGAAGAAGTCCTGCACAAGAGCGCAAGTTGACAATCAACCGTGAGGAAGTATCAAGCGGGAGCAGTTGTTCTTGTAGTTCGGGGGTCAACAACCCTGCTTGAGCAGGAAGGCTTCCCCTGAATAAAAACAGGTTGCGAGCCCCGAGGGTGGCACTTCAACTGAAAAACACAGTGCACCAGTGAGGGGAAATCAACCATGATTCTTTCAAACTGAGAATTCAACAGCAACACCAAAAACATCAACAACGACAACAGCAACAAACCTCAACAACAACCACCAGTAACAACAACAACAATAATAATAATAATAACAGCAACGGTAACAGCAACGGCAACGACAGCCCCAATACATTCATCACCAGCAGCAATAACAATATCGTCATCATCATCATCATCATCATCATCATCATCATCATCATCATCATCATCATCATCATCGACAACATCAGCATCAACAACATCATCACCATTATACCAGCAACATCACCATCACCATCGTCATCATCACCAACATCCGCAGCCGCACATCAGCAAAATCTACATCATCAGCAGCAGCATCCGCATCAACATCATCATCCTCATCATCGACCCCATCATCAGCACCATCAGAATCATCGCCACCACCACCACCATCACCAGAAACACCACCATCATCATCATCATCATCATCATCATAATCATATTCGTCATCGTCAACATTATCAGCATAATCATCATCATTACCATCATTACCATCATCCTCATCATCATCATCATCCACCTCATCAGCATCATCGCCATCATCAGCAGCATCAGCATCAGCATCATCATCATCACTACAACCATCAGTATTAGCAGCAGCAATATTGTCATTATGATCATCACCCGCATCACCACCATAGCCATGATCGTCATCATCCCCATCGACATCGTCATCATCATCACCATCATCACCATCAGGACATATCATCGGAATCGTCATTAACATCAGCAGCATAATCATCATCATCAGCACCACCATCGTTATCATCACAACCATTATCATGCGCAGCATCCGCATCATCATCATCATCAGCACAATCAGCATCATCATCAGCATCAGCAGCAGCATCAGCATCATCAGCATCAGCATCATCACCATCATCATCAGCATCATCAGCATCCCTATCATCATCGTCATCGTCATCATCAGCATCCCCTTTCCCCAGTCCATATCATCATCATCCTCATCATCCTCCTCCTCTTCCTCCTGCTCCGCATCTTCATCATCCTCCTCGTAACTCGTTTCCACATCCGCCTCCCCATCACCATCATCAACAACTTCATAAGCATCTTCAGCATCATCATCCGCATTATCCTCATCACCATCATCGCCATTGCTCATCATCAGCATCCTCATCACCATCATCACCAACATCACCACCATCATCATCACCACCGTCATCATCCTCAGCAGCAGCATCAGCATCAATATCATCATCGGCACCGTCCTCGATATCATCATCATCATCACCACCAACACCACCGTCATCACCATGTTCACCAGCAGCATCATCATGATCAGCATGGTCCACCTCATCAGCATCATCGTCATCATCATCAGCATCAGTGTCAGCATCATGATCACTATCATCATCATCATCATCATCATCATCATCATCATCATCATCATCATCATCATCATCAGCATCCTCATCATCATCATCATCATCATCAGCAGCAGCATCATCATGATAAGCATCATCACAACCGCGCCCATCATCGTCAACGTCCTAATCATCACCTCTATCATCGTCATCATCATCACCATGTTCATCATCACCAGCATCGTCGTCATCGGGGAACCATCATCAGCGTCAGCATCATCATCGTTATCACCATCATCGCCATTGCTCATCATCAGCATCCTCATCACCAGCATCGCCATCATCACCAGCATCATCATCACCATCGTCATCATCCTCAGCAGCAGCATCAGTATCAATATCATCATCGGCACCATACTCGATATCATCATCATCATCACCACCAACACCACCGTCATCACCATGTTCACCAGCATTATCATCATCAGCATCATCCACCTCATCAGCATCATCACTGCCACCAGCATCATCGTCATCATCAGCATCAGTGTCAGCATCATGATCACCATCATCATGATTATCATCCTCATCATCATCATCATCATCATCATCATCATCATCATCATCATCATCATCATCATCATCATCATTATCATCATCATCATCATCATCATCATCATCATCATTAGCAGCAGCAGCATCATCATGATAAGCATCATCACAACCGCGCCCATCATCGTCAACATCCTGATCATCACCTCTATCGTCGTCATGACCATCACCATGTTCATCCTCACCAGCATCGTCGTCATCATCACCATCATCAGCGTCAGCATGATCATGGTCATCATCATACCGCATCATCAGCATCACCGTCATCATCATAGTCATCAGCATCAGCATCAGCATCATCATCATCATGATCAGCATCATCAGCATCAGCATCATTATCATCATCAGCATCCTTTTTGCTGTCCGTACCATCCTCTTCCTCCTCCTCCTCCTCCTCATCCTCCTCCTCCTCCCCCGCCTGCCACTCCTCCTCACCCTCCTCATCATCATAATTAACCTCATCACCAGCATCATCAGCATGATCATCAGCATCATCCACCTCATCACCATCATCACAATCATGATCACCATCATCATCATCATCATCATCATCATCATCATAGTCATCATCGTCCTTCCCCATCATCATCATCATCATCATCATCATCATCATCATCATCATCATCATCAGGACCGTCATCATCATAAACATCATCATCACCATCATCATCATCATCAACATCATCACCATCATCATCCTCACAATCCTCAGCCGCATCATCAGCATAACCATCATCATCACCACCATCACAATCATCACCACAATCAACAGCATCATCATCACCATAATCAGCATCAGCATCATCCACCGCATCAGCATTATCACTACCACCAGCATTATCGTCATCATCAGCATCAGCTTCAGCATCATCATCACCACCATCATCATCAGCAGCAGCATCGAAATGATGACCATCATCACAAACACCACCATCGGTCATCATCCTCATCCTCATCATCATCAGCATCATCATCACCATCATCATCATCACCAGCATCGTCATCATCATCACCATCAGCAGCGCACACCCACACAGACAGTCTGACCACGACCAGACCTGACGCATTACAACCACCCCATTCCAAAAGATAGGATTCCACCATGCCTTTTGTGTTTTCTCTGTCCCTCCCCCCCTCCCGCTCCCGCTGCCCCTCCATCTCCCTCTCCCTCTCCCTCCCTCTATCTCTCTCTATCTCAAACCCCTCCCTGGGAGGAGAGCGAGGGCGGAGGAGGAAAGAACAGGCTCAGACCTTCGGCGCCGCGATACATACAGTGGAGGGCCATGCCAAAAAGAACACCCTGCTTGCCTCCAGGGCGCCCCGGGCTTCTTGGGCCTCGATATGGTCTTGTGCGATGGAAATCGGAGGTGACGGGGTGAGATCGAAACGGAACGGAGAGCCACTCTACCGGGAAATCGGTTTCGGTTTCGTGTTCGCGCGTGCCGTGCGTGCGGGCGAGGCGAAGCTGCGTGGGCGGGCAAAACATAAATCTCCTGTAGCTGAGGCGCGGCCGGACCAAAAGTCTCCCTTCCGGCAACCGGTGCCCCGCGGTGTCCCGCCGGTGTCCCGCTCGGGGGCCGGTGGCGCGCGGTGTCCCCCCAGTGTCCCGCCGGAGTCCCGTCGGTGTCCCGATGATGATGATGATGATGATGATGATGATGATGATGATGATGATGGTGATGATGATGGTGATGATGATGATCATGATGATGATAATGATGATGATGATGTTTGACGATGATGATGTTGTTGATGATGATGACGATGGTGATGGTGGTGATGATGATGGTGTCCCGATGATGATGATGATGATGATGATGATGATGATAATGATGATGATAATGATGATCATGATGACGATGTGAATGATGATGATGGTGGTGATGATGATGGTGCCTCGATGATGATGATGATGATGATGTAAATGATGATGATAATGTTGCTGATGATGATGGTGCCCCGATGATGATGATGATGTTGATATTGATGATCCTGATGATGTTCATGATGATGATCAGGTGATTTGATGATGATGAAGATGATGATGATGATGATCGTGTCCCGATGATGATGATGATGATGATGATGATGAGGAGGTTGATGATGATGCTGTTGATGATGGTGATGATGATGATGGTGTCCCGATGAGGATGATAATGATAAGAATAAAGATGGTGTCCCGATGATGATGATGATGATGTTGATGATGATGATGACGGTGGCCCAATGATGGTGATGATGATGCTGATGTTGATGATGATGATGGTGTCCCGATGATGTTGATGATGATGGTGATGATGAGGGTGACGATGATGATGGTGTTCCAATGATGATGATGATGATGTTGATGATGATGAAGGTGTTCCAATGATGATGGTGTCCCGATGATGATGATGATGATGATGTTGATAATGTTGTTTATGATCATGATGATGAGATGGATATGATGGTGGTGTTCCGATGATGATGATGGTGTCCCGATGATGATGATGTTGATGATGATGATGATGGTGACGAGGATCGTGCCCCGATGATGATGATGATGATGGTGATGATGATGTTGATGATGATGGTGATGAGGTGATGATGACGATGGTGTCCCGATGATGTTGATGATGATGGTGATGATGATGGTGACGATGATGATGTTCCAATGATGATGATGATGATGATGATGATGTTGCTAATGATGATGGTGTCCCGATGATGATGATGATGTTGATGATGTTGTTTATGACCATGATAATGAGATGAATATGATGATGGTGGTGTTCCAATGATGATGATGATGATGATGATGATGATGGTGTCCCGATGATGATGATGTTAATGATGATGATGATGATGATGATGATGATGATGATGATGATGGTGACGAGGATCGTGCCCCGATGATGATGATGATGATGGTGATGATGATGTTGATGATGATGGTGATGAGGTGAAGATGATGTTGGTGTCCCGATGATGCTGATGATGATGATGAAGATGATATTGATGACGTTGATGACGATGATGTTGATGATGATGACGTTGATTATGATATCGATTGTGATATCGATAATTAGTGGGATCGATAGTTAGACCGAATGTGAGATCGATTGTGATATCGATAGTGAGATCGATAGTGAGATCGATTGTGAGATCGATAGTCAGATCGATTGTGAGATCGATCGAATTAAATAGATCGAGTGAGATCGATTGTGAGATCGATCGAGTGAGATCGATCGAGCGAGACCGATGGTGAGATCGATAGTGAGATCGATAGTGAAACCGATCGAGTGAGACGTTGGTTCCTCCCCCCCGAACCTCCTTATCACGCGAAGGGTGGTCGTATAGGTATGCGCGACGCTCCC